ATATATATTAATTTTTTATTATATTATATAAATAAATAGACCGACTTATCAACTATCAAGCCTAACAAACTTTTTTATAAGTCTAAGTCTGACTTTTTTATATAAATAATTTTTCTTAAAATCTAGTTCAAACTAGACTTTAAAGAGGTCAGACTATAAGCCTTTTTTAATGCTTAACATATTCTCATCCCTAGTCACACATTAATACAATATTTCTAACAATTGTGAGTAAGATCTGAGATGATTACATGACTTTTTAATGAATAAATGAGTAATTAAGAATGATTACATAATAAGGAACACTAAAAATAATAATTATAAATTTTAGAAGGACAAAAAATATAATTTTTTTACAGGACTAAAATCAAAACTTACTCATTTTATAGAGATTAAAAACATACTAAAGTTTTCTATTTTAATAAAAAAAGTTAAAATCACATAATTAAAATACTTGATTAACTAAAATTATTTAGGGTTTAGAGTTTAGAATTTAAGATCTAACAATTACAATATTTGATACACTAAAATTACTTAACTAAATTTTGAGGACTAAAATCACAATGTAATATAAAAGAAAGATATTTTTAAAGCAAACAATTACAACCAAAGTGTTGTTAGGTTGATCATCTCAAATGGTAAGAAGAATTTAATTCATATCTAACTGCTATCAAATCCTACATTAAACCAAATAAGAAAGAGATTCGTTTAATAAGATAACATTTTATAATCATTGCAAATTATTTGAGTGATAATTGAATCCATTAAGTGATATCACAAAAAAGAACTTAATAAATAAATAAAAACGTGACCGAGCTATAAAAACATTTTAATCACATATATAATTAGTTAATTAAATGTATAAAAACTAAAACGCAAAAAGACTAAACGAAGAATAAAATCACTTAATTTTTTTTTAGAAAAATAAGACAAAGTATAAAATAAAACACATACTAAACACTATTCTAAGATCATTAATTAAAAACAAAATACAAAAAACAAAGACAAGAATAAAAACATTAAAACAAAAAAGCTTTCACAAAAATTAAAATAAAACAAATGAAATAAATATTTTTCAAATTCTCATCTTCGTCTTAATTTTTTTATTAAAAAATATTAAAATAGTTTTGTCATAATTATTAATTGATTAAGTTGTATTTGTATCATAATTCAAATATTTATATATATATATATATATTTATTATAAAAGGATATATTTGAGTAATCATCCTTTTAGTTTCCACTTTTAAATGAACTTTTATATCCTTGAATATAAAAAAAATTATATTTTTTATAATTTTTAATATTTATATATGTATAATTATTAAAAACACGTAATTCCTATTGTATAAATAAAGTAAATTTGTTAACCAACATGTAAAAAATGAGCTGTTACCGTATTTGTTAACGAAAAATGAAATGTAAAACATTATGGAAGTAAAGGGAATTAGATTAACATTAACCGGAATCCCAACGGAAGTAAAGTCATATTAGTATTAGTATTACTATTAGGCGAAGCCGACAACGGAGCAGTACCAATTTTGTTTTGAATGGAAGGAACCATAAATATCATTTACCAATCGCTTTTGCTTTTTGCCTAATCATAACCCTTTCTCTCACCATTCCCATTCCCTCAACCCGCACCCTCTCGCTCCCTTCCTGGTCAGCCATTTTTCTTTTTCAATTCATTCCCATTTTCTTTGCGATTCTCTTCTCTTCCCTCTTCATTACACGCTCTACGTTTCTTTTCATTTTTTAATGTTGCCTCTGCTCAATTCTAGGGTTCATGAATCCTTTTATCTTGCATTTTTTTTATAATTTTGTTTCTCCTCGCTGTCTAGGTCTTTTTAATCCTGTTTGATTTTGTAAATCTGGTGATTTTTTTTTGGTTTTATTTGAATGAATTATTATTATTCTGTTTTACGGGAAAGACCTAATGTTTAAGTAATCTTATTCTGATGTGGTGGTGGTGTGTTGGAGGCTTATAATTTTTTACAAGCGGGCGATTGATTGGGGTCTATTCTGTTTCCTTTTCGTGGGGGTTGTTTTTGCTAGGTGGTGACCATGTCGACCCCTGCTAGGAAGAGGCTGATGAGAGATTTCAAGAGGCTGCAACAGGACCCGCCTGCAGGAATCAGTGGTGCCCCCCAGGATAACAACATAATGCTGTGGAATGCTGTCATATTTGGGTGAGTTGAATTGAAAATCGGTATAGATTCAATGTTGTTCTAACTTGTAGTCGATTATTCGCTTCATTTATTTTTTTATTTTGTTGTATTTGATTATTGGTGGATAACTGGTATCTGTTTTGGAGTGCAGCCCTGATGACACTCCATGGGATGGAGGTGAGTGAATGCTTGTACAATAAGTTTGAAACCTATGGTAAGTGTCAGTTAGGTTCTTTTTCCATCATGTGCCTTACGTAATCGTGTTTTGAGTTGTTCAGGTACGTTCAAGTTGACTCTCCAATTTACTGAGGATTATCCAAATAAACCGCCAACTGTACGGTTTGTGTCTCGCATGTTTCATCCCAATAGTAAGTATTAGATGGAAGATATTTTTACTTTAGGGTATCAATAAATTAGTTTTGTAGCTCTAATGTCATTTTTTCAATTTTGTGTAGTTTATGCTGATGGAAGTATTTGTTTGGATATATTACAAAATCAGTGGAGTCCTATATATGATGTGGCTGCTATACTCACATCTATCCAGGTATCATCTAGTATTTTTTATTTTTCAGTTAATGACATCTACATTTCATTTGAATATTTTGCAAATGAACTAAGCAAGCAGATATGTTGTACATCATTAAGTCTATCCTTACAAGTTTCATTTCCTTTCCATTCCCAAAAAAAAGTTATACTCCTCTCATCATTAGAGTCCAAATTGAAATGAAATCCTGTAGGAGATTGTGTGGATCAGAGGATTGAGAAAATTGTGATGGACCTTCTGTTGGCATAGGAGATTCTAGGAGCAAACTGGGGGTAGCAATTGCATTGTTTATTCCCTAACCATCCAATCCATCTGTGCATAAATCCAATCAATCCACTCATTCATAAGATTAAAACTAAATGGATTGGATCAACAATTATTTCTGGATGGTTTATAAACTGTCCATTGTATTTTAAAAACCAATATATTGGAACAATGATGGTCATAGAAATAGAGGCCTATTGCAGGTTCTTCTGAAAACAATGCCCAGTAAAAGAGAAATTTTAGAGAGAATTTTTGTTGTCCTGTAAATAAAATTTAATATATTCATCCATAAAAAAAAATATTACAGATGGGTTGAACAGATTTTTTTAAATGAGTTGTGGATGGATTGGACTTCTTAATACACTTTTAATGGATCCTAAGTGGACAATTTTTTATTTTTGACATCCATTTTATTTCAATGCAAAATCTATCCAAACTTTGCATTATACACCTTGAGCAGCCATTAATTCAGAGGTTTACTACCATAAGCCTATGCACCTTGGTGGGTTGGTGTAAATAAAATCAACCCCTATATATTAAACACGAACTTTTATCTTACACAAAAGTATTTTTTTGGGTCTTTTCTTCAATGAGAGGATTTTTAGGAATTTTTTTTTATCTTATCTAATTTGGTTTTTATTTATTATAATTATTTTATATATTAAATTTTAATATTTTTAAAATAAATTATCAACAAATAAAAATAATATTATGCTACAATGTAAATTATTTATCATAATTCTAAAATTTAATTTATATGTTTAAAGTATATTTATTTTTACAAACTTTAAATGTGATTTATATATTTAAAACATAATATTTATTTGTATATATAATTTTTTTTTTATAAATTTTAGTTATATATAATAAATATTTAGCCTGTGCATTGGACATGCTAAAATGCTAGTTTAATATATTCATCCATAAAACAGATGGGTTCAACAATTTTTTTTTAAATGAGTCATGGATGAATTGAACTTTTCTGATGCACAAGTTTTTGTTTTTTATGTCCATTTTGTTTCAACTCAAAATTTATCCAAACCATCTATTTTACACCTCCAGATAAAACAGCCATTAATTTTCAGAGGTTTACTATAAGCCTAAGCACCTTGGTGGTTATAAACCAGTGATATTTGTGTCTAAAATGTACTTGCAGTGGTTGTGGTGCTTCCGTTTATGATCTTGTTGCTTAAGCATAGATTGATAAGGATTTCAATGTGGTCTGTCAGAATGGTTGGGGTCACTGAGGTTGGAGTCTATTATTGTGTGTATCTAGAAGGCTAGTAGTTCATTTCATTGGCATACCCCACTTTGTATCCATTTTTGAGCTTTTTCGGAGCTGGAAACTGTTCATGATCATCTTGGTTTTGGGAAAATGTGTTTAGGGTTATCTCCTGGACTTCGGACCCCAGCTGCATTTCTACCATGATTTCTTGAGTTGTGTCTTAGTCATAACTCTTGAGAAACTTCTGATAATAGTTTCTTTGCTGCTATCCAGCTGTCGCCACATGTCACCTTTTGCTGAACTGTGTTTTTTTTTTTTCATTTTTCCATTTCACCTGCTCTTAGATATTTTCTTTCTCTTCTATTTGTGTTTTTTCTCACCCACAGAGCTGATTTGTCTTTTCTCTCATCGTGCTCTGACGCACGGGTAATCGACTCTAGTTTGTATTATTTGAGATGCCCTCGCTTGAATCTTATATCATTCCAAATCCGATACGGGTAGGTCCTCTTTTTAGTTTCTTTCTTGCAATCATTTTCTGCTAAATCAGCTTTTAAGGTTGCATTTTGCCCAACTATTTTTGGGCTTCTATTCCCTTTAAGTTGAGATAGACAAAGTCTATTTGGATAAACTTTTTCAGAAGCTCTTTTAGGAGAGAAAAAGAAAAATTGAAAATAAGTTTTTCCATAAACTAAAATTAGCTTATGTACTTGTTAAGAAAAAGCTTCTACAAATTTAGATTATGCATAATATAATTTTAACTTATTTCATTTTTCCTTCATATTTTTCTCTACTAGAATTGCTTCTGAAAAAGTTTATCCTAACACAGGCCCAGATACTATTTTAGAAAAGCTCTAAAAATAATTTTTGTAGTGTATAAAAAATGAAAGGGGGATCATGTACCTAAGCAAAAGAGATGTGATGTGAGAGTCTCTGGTGAGTGCGAGTGTTCATCATTCCTTGTAACTTTTAAGTGAGAAACTTGGATTGGTAGGGAGAAACAGCTTTGGTCCATATTGTGCGTGGTTATTTTTCCCCCAACATAACTTGGGTCTGCAGCAATAATTTGCATGGAGTGGCTGGGTTGGCTCTAACAAATGATGGACATGGGTCATCTATGGTTGTTCCAGGTAGTTCAGCAATGGGGGTTGGTACTGCTGGTCCATCTTCAATGGCTTTGGTAGCAGCAGTTTCAGGACTAAGCGCATGGTGGGTTTGGGTTTTGAGCAACAAATTTCTTGAGGTTTAAGCTAAAACAAATAATAACAAAAAAATAAATAAAAATTACCAAATAACTTTAGCTTTGTTTTAAGGTATTGCCATTATGTTTTAACTTTTAAGTAGCTTTAAATCAAAACCTCGTCAAAGGTACCTAAGTAATCTTTGGGAATGTCCAAGTCATCTCTGAGATTGAGGCTTTTGGCTGGAGTTTTACGTGATAGGATTAAATTTGAATGATTTCTTATGGATACACACACCACTTTAGTTCCTTCTATTATGTTCTTCAAAAGTTATGAAACAAGTAGCTACCTCTGTTTGCATTGAGGAAGCTTGACAATCCAGGGGTAAGTTAACTGCTCAATCTGGATATCTTTTTCTTTATGTCGCAGAAGCTCTGGGTGTAGGAAGGATATAAGTTGCTTTGGAAATGTGTGTTTGACTGTAGTGTGATTCCAGTCATTTATTTATGCCTTGTCTTTCTTCGTACACACTTTATGGCACCCGTTGTTTTCTTAGCTTCCCTCCAACATTGTGCATAACCAAAGAACATTCCCTGCAACGTTGTTTGGCATCAACACATTATTGTATTTGGAAGTCTGGCACTTTTGGTTTCTGAAATAAATAAACCATATAGCATTTATCCTGTTTACTCATTTTTTTTATATCTATTTTCTAAAAGGTAAATTATTCCTCCTTTGCAGTCATTGCTGTGTGATCCCAACCCAAATTCTCCTGCAAACTCTGAAGCAGCTCGTATGTTTAGTGAGAACAAGCGTGAGTACAATCGAAGGGTGAGGGAAATTGTGGAGCAGAGTTGGACAGCCGATTAAGTTCATCCTTTTATGCTTGTGGGTCAAAAGTCTGTCTGAAGCTTTGAAAGCATGAATTAGGTTGCAATGGCACCTATAAGAATGATTGTGCAAACTCATCAAATTTATATTCCCAGTTGATATGAATGATAGCATCACGTTATCTTTAATTTATTGTAGCTTTTGGCATTACTCGGCAGTTAATGTAAAATATAATTATGCGTGTCAATGTACTTTGAATTGTTATCAACATGTGGTTCAACATAAAAGTTGTAGTTTGCTAAATTTGTTATCACAGGTTTGAAAATTAGCTTCATTGTGGTATTATGAGCGGGTTTATCATTTGCGTCCCTTTGCGATCTTGTTTGCACTTTGCAGCCATCCATTGTGATCGTGAACTTGGTTGCGCCATATTGACTCGGTGGCGATAATTTGCCCTCATTATCTTGGGTATTTTTCATGTGAAACTTGTGTGTTGTGGGTGTCCATCATGCATTTTTGTTTATGATTCCCTAATTTTGTTAAACTGAAGCAAATTTTGCAGACCGGTTCAATGTGACAACAAAATTCTTGGGGGTACCTTAGACAGTTAGGGATGAGAGAAGGAAACCAAATTGACGGGTCATGAGGGTGAATGACAGCCCTGGTCAATTCATTTTAATATAAATTATTATTGGTGCAAGAATTTAGAATTAGAATTAAAATGAATGTTACGATATCAAATCTTTAGTTTTGATTCTTTTATTTTAATGTCATAACTTCAGTCTCAATTTCATAAAATTTGCATTTTCGGTTCTCTAGGTGAATATTTATTTGTTCATGATTAAAATTTTATCATTAGTCATGATTTGACATTAAGTAAATAATATGATAATTAATATTTAATTATATTTAGGTTAAATTCACTTTTAATTTTTAGTTTTATCTCATAAAGTGGTAAAATGAGATGAAAAAGTGATAAAAATGATAAAGTGTAAATTAGCATACATATTAAATATTAATCAATTTGTTCTTTATCTACTATTAGGTTATGATCAATATTATAATTTTAATGATTAACAGATGACAATTCATTTTCAATGAAGACTAAAATTGTGGATTTAATAAAGTTGAGAGACTAAAATTATGAAATTAAAATTAGATAAACCACAACTGCAAATTTGACATTATAAGAAAATCAAAAGTGCAATAAAATCTAAAATATTGTATTTAAGATACACTATCTGTTACCACATAAACATAATAACAAACCAATATATAGTAAATAAAAGAAGAAAGGAAGAGACACTCTCACTATTATTTCATTTACTCACACATAATAATAATACGTACAGCATATGGCCTTTTATAGGCAAATGATACAGTAAAAAAATAATAAAATATTATATTTAGGAAACTTAACGTATGCAAATTGGTACCACAATTACTAATGTCAAACATTGCTACTCAATTTCAATTTGGATTTGTTATTGTGTGGCAGTAATTCAAAAATTAAACTGTGCAGCCATTGTGGAATTTCAAATTTCAAGTCAAACATTACGGCTTGATTTAATTTTCTGACATTGCCTCCCTTAAATCAAGCTTGTATCATTCCAAGCATTCTTTTTAACTTGTAGAATAATTCAACTTTTAACGGCTTCGTGAAAATATCTGCAACTTGTTCTTCAATTTGACAATATTCAATTGCTACTTCTTTCTCAGCTACCAGTTCTCGGATTTTATGAAACCGAATATCTATGTGCTTGGACCGTCCATGAACTACTAGATTTTTGCATAATGCAATTGCTGACTTGTTATCACAAAATATCACTGTGGGAGTATTTTGCTTCTGATGCATCACTTCAAGCATTTTTCTCAGCCATACAGCTTGGGTTGACAACTTGCTGCTGCTATATATTCTGCTTCAGCAGTTGAGAGCGCTACCACTTGTTGCTTCTTTGATGACCATGATACTGTACCACTTCCAAGATTGAATGCATATCCTGGCGTGCTCTTTCTCGTCTCTATATCTCCTGCCCAATCACTATCTGTATATCCAACAAGATTCACATCAATATCTTTATCATAGAAAATTCCTTCTGTCAGAGTACCTTTGATGTATCTAAGAATTCTTTTAGCTGCCTGCCAATGAGAATCTCGTGGCTTTTCCATGAATCTGCTGAGTAGTCCAACTCCATAGACAATATCTGGCCTGGTTGCAATTAAATATCTGAGACTTCCAATCAAACTTTTATAGAGAGTTGGATTGACTTTCTTTTTTTTAAACTGACATGGGATTCAGGAAGAGACATGCCAACTCAATGTGGAAAATGAACAGAAATTAGAATCCCAGACTGCAGTAATGAACAAGGAGACCACATTCATAGATCATCCATATCCGGATGGAGAAACTGAAGATGTAAACCCCTCTAAAGATAAACAGGAACAAGAGGTTCCATCTTCTCACACCAAGGAGAAAGTGGTGATCAAGGGTGATGAAAATTTTGATCAAATGGAAGCAAAAGGGACAGAAGAAGCAACAAAAATGCAGTTACTAAACACTGAAATAGAAAGTATGTTCTCAAAAATTGACATTTTTATTACTTGATACTCAGTTTTATTTTGACCCGTGAAACTTAAGGCTGCCATTTCTGAAGTTTACTGTTGTTCAACTCTTCTCAAGCAAAACAATATTTGTTTTTGTTCTGAAATGGCATTTACCATTTACAATTTCAAAAGGAAATAAATAACTTACACTAAACAAAAGTAATGTATGGTGGGAGAAGCATTATAAGTCACTACAATAACTTTGCCATTACTAGTAGAAAGGCATGGAAGTACGATTGAAATTTTATGTTTCCAGACAAGATGTCTGTCAGAATAGCTACAAAAAAGAAAAAGAATAGCTATAATGCTATATAAACATCTAAAATGTATGACAGGACTGCCAGAAGAAGAAGTCCAGCCAAAACTCCACAATCCTGCAATTGTCGAAGATGACACTGAACAAATCTTACAGAAACAAACACTTCAGGACAATGAATCAGAAGCAGTTGATACTGCAGACAACGACATACCCAAAATCATAATTGACAAAATGTCCACTGTTGTTGAGGTTAGGCAGTATTAAAGTAAACAAATAAAATTACAAATACATCTGCTTGCTGATTAAAAAAATCATTTATTTTCTTGTTATACATAGTTTATACTTATGTTGTATATATTCAAACAGGAACCTAATAAACCTGAAACCAAGCCCAACGTTGGCATAGTAAAAGAAGAACAAGCAGACAACCAATCAGAAGGATCAAGCATGCAAAGTGTGACTACAAATTTTGCAGCATCAGAAGGACACGTGACATCAAAAAGCAGTACAAAATTAAGTTATGATGTGGATGAACATCAACTATCAAGCCTAACAAACTTTTTTATAAGTCTAAGTCTGACTTTTTTATATAAATAATTTTTCTTAAAATCTAGTTCAAACTAGACTTTAAAGAGGTCAGACTATAAGCCTTTTTTAATGCTTAACATATTCTCATCCCTAGTCACACATTAATACAATATTTCTAACAATTGTGAGTAAGATCTGAGATGATTACATGACTTTTTAATGAATAAATGAGTAATTAAGAATGATTACATAATAAGGAACACTAAAAATAATAATTATAAATTTTAGAAGGACAAAAAATATAATTTTTTTACAGGACTAAAATCAAAACTTACTCATTTTATAGAGATTAAAAACATACTAAAGTTTTCTATTTTAATAAAAAAAGTTAAAATCACATAATTAAAATACTTGATTAACTAAAATTATTTAGGGTTTAGAGTTTAGAATTTAAGATCTAACAATTACAATATTTGATACACTAAAATTACTTAACTAAATTTTGAGGACTAAAATCACAATGTAATATAAAAGAAAGATATTTTTAAAGCAAACAATTACAACCAAAGTGTTGTTAGGTTGATCATCTAAGAATTGGATTGACTATCTTGCCTCCAATGTCACTTGTCAGCTTCAACTTTCCTTCAACTGGCGTAGAAACAGGTTTTGAATTCACCATCATGAACTTCTTCAAAATATCACCTGTAAATTTCTTTTGAGAAATGAAAATTCCATCATCTCGCTGATCAACCTCGATGCCCAAAAATAAGACATTATGCCCAGATCCGTCATTTCAAAACATTTAATCATAGCCTCCCTGAATTCTGCAAACATTTTTGGATTATTGCCAGTAAAAATTAGATCATCAACATAGAGGCACACAATAAGAATATTTTCAGGGTCAACATATTTGATATACAAAGTGTGTTCAAATGGGCATCTTTGAAAACCATTATCCACAAAGTAAGAATCAATCTTCTTATACCACGCCCTGGGTGCCTGCTTCAGACCATACAATGCCTTCTTCAATCTGTAGACTTTATCTTCTTTTCCTTTAACTTCAAATCCTGCAGGCTGCTCAACATATACTTCTTCTTCTTCCAAAGTGCCATTCAGAAAAGCAGATTTAACATCCATTTGATGAATTTTCCAATTATTTTGAGCTGATAGAGAGATAAGCATACGAATTGTATCTAATCTTGCTACAGGAGAAAATACCTCAAAATAATCAATACCTGGTGATGGAAAACTTGTTGAGAAACCGGATTGATGTTGATTCCTCTTCAAATAGTTTTGGCATTTGCAATTTTTCCAAAAATGGAATAATCTACTCCTTGGTGAATTTGTGACAGTGGCAATTGGTCTCTTCTTCTAACAATATCATCAGCTCCTTCTGCTAATCCCGGTTCAACAAAGCTCCAAATGTTGTGAGCTCTTAAATGTGTGGCCATCAAAGTCTCCCAATAACTAAAATCTAATTTTCCATCTAACTTGGGACCAGACCAAATAATATTGTAACTGGTGGCCATATCTCTCTCTCAAAGATATAACAACTCTATTTTTTTTAAACAAAGTAAGAACCCTCTTGTTTCTCACTCAAATATTTTTTTTTTTCACTCACACTATCACTGGACTCTCTGGCTCTGATACCAATCTGTTACCACATAAACATAATAACAAACCAATATATAGTAAATAAAAGAAGAAAGGAAGAGACACTCTCACTATTATTTCATTTACTCACACATAATAATAATACGTACAGCATATGGCCTTTTATAGGCAAATGATACAGTAAAAAAATAATAAAATATTATATTTAGGAAACTTAACGTATGCAAATTGGTACCACAATTACTAATGTCAAACATTGCTACTCAATTTCAATTTGGATTTGTTATTGTGTGGCAGTAATTCAAAAATTAAACTGTGCAGCCATTGTGAAATTTCAAATTCCAAGTCAAACATTACGGCTTGATTTAATTTTCTGACACTGTCTTAATTTAAATATGTGTGGTGTAACCGCAAAACATCAGCTTACTTTTCACAATTTATAGCAATTTTTTTAATAATGCAATTAAAAATCATCCTAGATGTCTTTATAACAGTAGTCATTATAAACATTAACAATCTTACCATGCCCAAATTTCAAATTCCAAGTCAAACATTACGGCTTGATTTAATTTTCTGACACTGTCTTAATTTAAATATGTGTGGTGTAACCGCAAAACATCAGCTTACTTTTCACAATTTATAGCAATTTTTTTAATAATGCAATTAAAAATCATCCTAGATGTCTTTATAACAGTAGTCATTATAAACATTAACAATCTTACCATGCCCTTTTTAGGATTCTTTTACATCCCATAAATATTAGGCATGTTAACAGTGTTTTTTGCGGTGTTGTCTGTTATAGCATACATAAATGTTACCTAACCTATACGCGAGCATATAATCATTTAACATATAAATTCACATGAAGGATCAGAAAATAGATTCACATAAATTTACGACTAATGCGGACAAAGAAAATACAGTTATATGTCGAACAAATGTCTTGCCTTGACAAATATTATGGAATCATCTATAGACACAAACAATAACATTCAATACAGTATGGTTTGATTAGCAAGTGTGTAATAATAACAGGACACAAAATATGCCAAGTGACCAAGCGAAGAGAAATGCAGCCTATACAAATTACAAAAGCACGCTCCACACAGAACACCCCGGGCAAACTTCAAGTTGGGAATCACAAAATTTCAGAAATGCAAAATCTCATGAGATTGCTTACACGACTTCTGTCACGCTGATTTCTTCAGTAATCTGAGCATCCTACAAGAATATCAATAAAACCATAAGCCGTATATTTTACTTATTAAAAACTAGACTTTTTACTTAGTAAGCCATTTACCACATTTTCTTTGTTGCCCTTTGGTGTGCTAACTGTAACTGTGAGCAGAAAAAAAAATCATGGTAAGTATTAAACTAATTGAACAAGAAATGCATCATAGATATCATATCATAACATAAATTTTGCCGTGAACTTGGTCACTTGCCTTCTTTAACATCAGATTTCTTTCCCTGCCTCTTTACCATGCCCTTTTCCTTACTAGGTTCTTGCTTGCTTGGCTTCTCAGATTTTTTCACCAACCTATTATTTTATAGTGTACTCTAAGTGTAAAACTAAATCCTATAGATGTTAAAGTACTAAAACTATAAGAAACTAGTGAAGTACTCCTATATACTAAGGTATCTTGCCTAAAGTACCCTATGTAGTAACCTAGGCTTCTACAAGAAAACAAAGTGAATATAATAAGGAAACTACCTAGACAACCCTTGATCATATTATATGTTAGATACATCATGGAAGAAGGTGTAAAGAGTTTAGAAAAGTCATAGAATCTAATTTGGTCTTGAAGGGAAGTATTAAGTTCAATGAAGTTTGAACTTCCCTTGAGATCAAAAATAGAAAATAAGACACCATAAGATGTATCTAATAAATAATATAAACCAAAGGTTGGGTACTTTATTAGAATAACTAAAGAAAGAGAAGTCATAAATAGACAATGGTTGTCTACTTTGGGCACCACCAAAGTAGTAGCATAAGAAGTAGAACTAGGTGAAGTCCACTCCTTCTTCACAAGACTAAGAACTTGAGATCCTTTATTTTAAAAAATGTTTAGGTTGCCCTCTCAACCTGGGTCCAGGATTACTCTTTTTACATGTCTCTTTCTTAGTTGACTCTGCTGCAGGTGTGACTTGAGTAGAATCAATGTTTAAGCTTTTAGGTTTCAGTTTTCTAATCCCCATGAAGAAGAGCTATGCACATCATCATCAGAAGACCGAGTCCCCTCTTCTGGCACATGTGAAATAGTTTCAGACACCTGCAACTGCTCCATGTTTTCTGAGATGTTATAGATCTCAAACAGTGCTTTCACAGTTTCTCCAAGGCCATCAAGCTGATGTCTCCTCACATAAGATTTTAGCCCCTCTTGCATTGGCCCTAGAGGCTGTTTGATATTGAAAGAAAAATAAATCATTAGAAAAATTGGCTCAGTTAATGAGCAAACAAATAAGAGTGCTGTAGTTGCACACAAGTGAGTCAGCCATTAAGTCATACCATAATCCATAAACAATATGACAAATTACATTCATACTCCTCAAACTAAGTGATAATTGCAACCAGTATCCCTTTCTCTTTTCAATCTAACATAGAGGCTCCACAATTAATAAACCAGGAGTTGTGTGACATGGAGAAATTACGACATAATTCAAGACTTTGTGGTTCTGACTAATTTCCGCATAATCATGTTATAACATGTCAGGTAGACATTGATCTGAGACCACGCTGTCTTGGACCATATAATAATTTCTCTATGAAAGGGAGGTCTATTAATAAAAAGGGGGCACCAATTAAGAAAGGTCTGTGTCACTGTATGTCAAGAACAATATGCTTAAATTCGGGGATATAATGCAATTTCTTCTAAGAAATTATGGCTGGCCATATAAGTGTATTTGTGTGTTGATTTTTAGATTTATGTTGTACCTCACATCCTGCCTCCAAAGCTAATTTGAAGAAGCCAAGTGAAATTGAGTGCCTGGCAGCAGATTCAGAGAGCTTGATCTGGTTTAACCAATATGAAGCCGAAGTTAGAAGATTTGACTTTATTTTGGTTGAGGTCTTGGAATTGTCAGGAATGGGTGTTTTGCTTCTGCCTTGACCAAAAGAGCTCCTCACTGTTCTAATCTCTGAGATTGGGGTAATGTTGCCCATCTTGGGCCTTGAAGTGGCTGCTGCTTTGGTAGGAATTGAGAGCCTTCTGGGTGGTTTGGCACTACCAGACTTGTCCTTGCCAGAAAAATCAAGAACACTAACACTTTTACTCACACTAGAAACACTTTTCTCCCTGAAAACAAATAAATGTAACCTTTTAAAGGAATACATATATCAAATTGAGTTGTTCAAGCATAAATTCTTAACTTCTTAATAATACTTTAAAAAATTATAATTTTCTTATTTTAATTTCTGTTCAATGTCGTTATAAAAACACTCTTTAACACATTATTATTATTATTATTATTATTATTATTATTATCGGTTTAAATTCATTAAAAATTAAAATATAATCAGGAATGAAACTGGTTAAATAAAAAAAGACAAATAAAATTTTGTTAATTTTAATAGATTTCAACTAAATATTTATATGGTAAAAAAATCATAAATCATAGATAAAATTTTAAAGTAGTTATAATAAAAGTCTACATAATTATTATGTATATTAATTTGTGATTAGATGCTGTTATAAAAAAAATTATACCAATTTTACATAAGTTGGAAATCCAGCATCTACTAATGAG